TAAGGGTAAAATTGATAATTACACAATTAATGCAGTATTGGAAATGTAAAGTGACAGATAATATGGAATAAAAATAATTTTAAAAAGAGACAGTTATTGTGGAACAAATGGAGTAATTGGCATTACTACTATGTTGAAACAACCTTTTCGAACACGTTTTAATTTAGTAGCCACTTTTGTTTCACTCCAAAGAATATGACATTGTACTTTTGTCAATTCAATGAAAAGTTCTCACATTCATGGCCGGTTCTAAAGATGAACGGATGCCAGTTGCCTATTTTCCTTTTTCTACGGCCCAAAATAATTCGTATATTTGTTGGATGCTTAGTTTTTGTACTTTATGATAATTAGTTGTCTGAATAAAGTAAGCATGCACTCATATTTAAAGTTGAACTAAAGTGAAAAACACTCATCGTGTTATCTTTGTTAGGAGAGTTGGTACCTGATGATGCTAGAAATAGATCACCTTAAGTAGTAGAGGTAGAGGGATTTAGAAGAGCAAAGTGAATCATTGCTCACGTGCTAGATGGTCATGAGATACCTGCGAACGCAGAACACGTGAACTAGGCCAGGGTTGATCCGGCGGAAACCCCTCTGACGCTCAAGTCAGACGTGCGTATAGTCGGTGATAGTAGAGAGAGTACGAGTTGTTGAATTGATTGAATGATAGACCGTACCTTTAATAAATGAATTAAATCGTTATTTATACCTTGTCGATTGGGCTGAAATTAATTTATTGGGCCCAAACTTTATTTAATGATGATTGAGCTTTCGTAATAGTGTTCTTCTAATCGGGTTCGTGGCCCAGTAGATAAAGAGATTGTAAGGTTATTGAGCTGACCAATTAGCCATATCAGTACATAACCTTTACTATTAGCGTAGACATAGGGTTCGAATCGTACATCTCCCCTACTTCCCTTTATTAACAGAATTTGAATTTACTCAAAAAAATTTAACTAAAGTGAAAATCATATCAAAATTATGATATATAATGTATTTGCAATAAAATCTTTCAAAGGGATTTAAACAAAAAAAAAAAAAAAGAAAAATCTTTCAAAAGGATAGAAATAGCCACCTAAATTGGTATTTATTGCCCTTCCTACATTGGATTATTGTTAAATAGGAAAGACGTGTGAATGACTAGGATTCCGACAATGAACCTAAATTTATTATCAATTTGTTTTAAGGTATGATATCTATTCTATTCTATTCTATCCACTTACTATATTTCAATACATCATTAATTTCTTGTCTTATTGCTTACTGTCATGTCACCGAGACACCTTTTCTTTTTTCCATAAAAAAAACGACAACTATTTTGCACAAATTATATAAGTCTTATCACAAATAATAAAAAAAAAAAAAAAATGAAGAAAAAGAGGTACATTCAAAGGGGGAAAGAAGCTTAGTGCGAGTTGGATACTATCATACTACCACAAAAAATGGGTCTAGGAGATATTACACCCGATGACATACGTAGGATGATTTTTACAATATATATATATATATATATATATATATATATATATATATATATAAATAATTACCCACTGATTATACATACACATGAATGTTTATTACTATGTGTAAATATTTCGGTGAAGCATCTACAAAACCACAAAAGTGTGACCATTTAGAGGTCTATGAGATGCTACACCTAGGGATGGTAAAAAAACCCGAACCGCTAGCTATCCGCGGTTACCCGCTCCATTTAAAACCCGTTACCGAAACCATTAGGGTTTGGTAACGGTTTTGGTAAAAGAAAAGAAAACCGTCTTGGTTTTGGTATGGTTCTGATTTTACCTTTACGGTCATGGGTACCCGACCATTTAATATATATATATATATATTAATTAATTCAACAATATGAATAAAAAAATTTGCAAAATTTTAAAGAAAGTATTAAATAATTTATTTATTTTTCTTCTCCCTCTTTTATGAGAGTTACTTAAACATTATCGGACCTAATATTATTTTTTATTACCATAATTTAAATGGTAAATGGGTATCCGTGGGTAACCGGATATTCGTGGTAATGGTTCTGGTATTTCCATTAACTTTTTAAAAGGGTTTGGTATGGTCATGATTTGAGCTATATTAAATGCTAATGGTTCTGGTATTGCACATTTTTGAGGGTACCCGCTCCGTTGCCATCCCTAGCTACACCTGGTGTAATACACCCGGTGGTTTTGAACCGTAAATTTATATAAATAATTATCCACTAAGCACACAAACATATAAGAAGAAAACGATGTCTAGGTTTTCTTTCTTAAAATTCTTTGAACTCTACCTTAATTTTTTTTTATCCATTATGAGAAGAATTTTCAGTTTTATAACTAATAAATATTAACCATAAAATTTCAGTTTATATTATATTAAAATTTTGTTGTTTTTATTTTTTATGTGTTAGTTTGATTGACATTGTATTACATATAATATCCAATTGGATAGGTCGTTACATGCCACCTTGTTTGGTTTTGGTACATGAACAACTATTATATACATTTCAATAAAGAAGAGCTAAGATGTATAAAATAATGAACTACAATGCTATTTAACATTGTTAGTAGTTCATAAAATATTTAGAAAGGAAACACTTTTAAAATGAATGATTGGAGGTAAATTTAACCTAATTATCAATCCAATCGAGATTGAAGAAGATTATATTTAAAGTGATCAAACATAAGTTTAACTTGGATACATAGTTAAATTTATTAATACATATCTTATAGTTTTTACTAAACATTGAAAGCGCCACCAACTAGCTAGATTCGAACTCGATTAGTTGATCTGTCCATTTACTTGCTCCATCAACTAGACCACCATTGCATAATTGACTCTTTTTTAAAGAGGTATTATTTATAATTTTTTGAAAAAATAATATCTTATATACAAATTTTGTATATAAGATATCTATGAAACCCTAATGGCAATTTTGTAATTATTTATTTTAAATATTTTCTATGTACTAATTTTCTAACTATATGACACTGAACCGTGAAGAATCATTCCGGCTTCAATCTCCTATTTTTCATCAATATATCTCAAATCTTCAGAGATAAAATAGAAATTCAATTTATTAAATCTTAACTTATTTGTTTGGATTATAAATCTTACTACGTAAAAAAAACTTATGTTATATAAAATATGAACAATATTACTTTTTTAAATTTTACTATGTTAGTGTATTATATATATTTTTTTTTATTTAGTTGGAGTGTAATTAGGGATACATAGAACTATAAATATATCATAAATTATGCACAAATACATAACACACATAAAAACATATGTACATACGTCGAAACTAGGATTTAATATTAGGTAGACTAAAAGTTTACGAGAGTTTGGGGGGCAACGCCCTCGATTATTTTAGATGTATTGACATATATATTAACACAATTTAAGAAAGAAAATATAAACTTTTTCTTTTAAAATATATATCATAAATTAAAACAAATGATATCTAAAATATGGTTATGAATTAAAATAAATTAATACACATTAACAATACATATTGCACATGGGGGGGTGGCCTTATCAATGGAATACCTTATTCTTGTACCAACCAAATGTTGACCGATATTATAATAAAGAACAGAAATAGTGCATTACCATATTCTACCGAATTATTTTGTTAGGGCATGTGGAACGAGGAATTTAAATAAAAATCTAAATGGAGATTATAAAAACCTCAACTTAGTTAGATTTCCATCCATTTTGCTAACCTAAAACTCTATCCCCACTTTGACCCCAAATAAAATAAAATAAAATAAAAAAGAAGAAAAGAGAGGAAGAAATGCAAAAAAAAAGGGGGCAACTTATGCCCACCTCTTATGTGTGTCCGGATTATAAAAAAATTCATAATGTTTGGATAATTACAACCACACCTCAATCATGTATTGTTTATATGTTCGCTTTTACGCTGTCAATTTTACCTACTGAATGAGGATTTTTTTCGTAAGACAATAGATAGTAGAGGAGTCGGTAGCGGAGCCAGAATTTTAAATCTACCGAGGTCAAATGCACTAAAACTTTTATGAGAGGGGGCCAATAATACTAATTATACACAATTTTGTTTTCAATCTTTACATATAAAAAAAAGGATTCGAGATTTGTTTAGGCGGCCATGGCCCCTCTGACCCTATGCTGGCTCCGGCGCTGAGAGGAGTTAGTTGTAATAATCCAAACATGAAGGGTATTTTCGTAATATGAGCTTACCTCAAGGGGTGACCGTAATTACCAAAAACAAAATGGTCTCTCCCATTTTATTTGTCTTTTTAGGTGTTTTTTTAGTCCAAAACTATTTGTCATTTTAACGTTTCATCAAAATCGTTAATTACATTTTTTTTTTATCGATTTTACTCATTATCATTTTTAATTAATTAATTAAAAAATAATTAATGACAATGTTATTTTAATATATTATTTTTGATATAATCTATGTATGTTTATTAAATTTTTTAATATGCGCGCAACCACACAAAACAACATATACTATACTAAGATACAGAGCCAGTAATAAATTACATTTTCATTTGACTTTGATGATGGGACAACCTCGGTGGAAGAACTTAATTATCAAGAGTAGGAAATAAATTAAGGAAACCACGCATATGCGTGTAATAAGCGCAAAATCTGATTTTAAGCAAGATTACACTTCTAAATCAAAAACCCATAACCCCGATTCTTATTTTCAGCGAACTCAGTCCCATTAAAAAAAAATGATAATCTAAAAAAAAAAAAAAGAAATAATTGCTATTTAACTATATATATGAATGAATACATAGAGCAAAAAATAGAGTGCCACTTGGCTTTGTTGTTTGTTTGACACAGTCAGGAATTCTAGAGTTATATCACCACGTTCCTTCTCTTTTTTCGCCAAGTTAATCATACTCTCTGACATATATATATATATATACACACATATCTATATATAACTCTTTCTTGGATATATATTTTTGGGTGATTTTTTTTTTTTTTTTTATAATTAATTTTGTCTGCAAGAATTTGGTGGCGGAAATGGCTGAAAAAGTGGTGGGGTTTGTGGGGTTGGATGAGGTCTCTTTGGAATTGGCTGCTTCTCTTCTCCACTCCGGCTATGCAGTTCAAGCATTTGAGGTAATTAATTACTTAATTAATTAATTTCTTAATTAATTTGCCCATTCCAGAAAAAAAATAAAAATCATTTCTTTTTCTTGCTTTTCTTGTTTTGATTACTACACTATATATGTTACAGAGAGAGAGAGAGAGAGAGAGAGAGAGAGAGAGAGAGAGAGAGAGAGAGAGAGAGAAAAAGTGTGGTCAACATGTCTGTTTGTTTTTGTGCCCTTTCACTTTTCCTGGTGTTTTTGATGAGGTGAATGAATTGGGAAATATTTGGTGTTTTCAATTGAAAATGAACTGAACACATGTTCGTAAGTACGAGGTTCCATTTTTTTTTTTTTTGAGTTGAATGCAATTAATTGCTAATCCAATTTCTTGAGGGGATTTCTAATTTAGAGTGTTTATTTATGATGACGATTAGTGGTAATACCGATGATTCACATTGACGAGATCGTTGATTATATGAGTCTTTATACGCATACGTGGTTGTTATTGAGACCGAACAATCACTAGCAAGAATCGTAAAGTAGTTAGATGCTAAAATTGATAAAATGGAGGTTCTAAACCTTAACCGAAAATTTTCAAATTATTTATGATTAACGATTAGTTGAATGTACATAGATTAAATCAGTGTTTACTTAGTACGCAAAGCACACGAACCCGCTTTCAAGAAAATTCGTGCCATCGGTTTTCTCTTTGTTATTCCTGGATTCTTGAAAAAAACATTTTACCAATAAAATAATTCAATCGGGTTTCGAACTTCTTTCCATTCTGTATTCGTTTGTAATATGCCTTGTACTTAAACTATGCTGCAGACGTCGGGTCAGCTATTAGACGATTTCTCGAAACTAGGTGGTAAAAAGTGTGCTAATCTGAACGAAACAGGGCAAGGTGAATCAAATCGCATATTTTCGCCTTTTATATATTTATTTATTTTTCGTCGGAAATTGTTCCATAGCTAATCCGACATTTTGGTTGTTTATTTGTGTTCATGCATGCAGGCGTCAGCGCTTTGGTCATTCTTATATCTAACGTCGAACAAATACATGATCTCTTTTACGGTGCTGAGGGTGTTCTTAAAGGTTGTCTTATTAGTTCCGAATTTCTTATATTTGAAGTGAAATAATGATTTTATTTATTTATTTATAATTTTCCCGAATTTCCAGGAACTGCGAAAAACGTAGCCGTAATCATCCATTCAACCATATTACCTGCACATATCCAGAATCTCGAGAAAATTCTTACAGGCAAATTTCATTTCATATGCCTATTGATTTTTTATTTTTTTTTGTTTTAATAAATCTTAATTACGAGGAAAGCTACTAAACCATTCACCTGAATCTTTTTTCGGTTTTTGCTTGCAGAGGATTATCAGATGGAAGTTGTAGTTGATATGTATGCCTTAAAGGCAGGGTCCGAAGTTTCAAACGGAAAATTCGTGGTAATAATTTAATATTATAATATTCTTTTATTATCGATTTTGATTTAGCATCCATAATAACCGTGACATGATAAATGCTTCATTCGTTTTGTTTGTCATTCGATCTTCAGGTTATTTCCTCCGGACAATCGGAATCTACTTCTCGGGCACAGCCCATCCTTTCTGGTTTAGTTTCCGTTTTTCTTTTTTTTTTTTATAAATAATTTTCGTCTCGTTTTCCGCTTGTTTTTAAGCATTTTCTGTGCGATATTATTCTGAGTCTGATTTTTGTTACGTGTGCAGCCATGAGCGAGAAACTTATCGTATTTGAAGGCGATATAGGTGCAGGCAGGTGGGCTTTCTAATTACATTACACAAAGAAATACTATATTATTATCGCATTTTAATTGGATAATTTTTTATTTTATTTTTATTTTGTTGCAGCAAGAGTAAAATGGTAATCGAGCTTCTAGAAGGAATCCACTTTGTAGCTTCGATCGAAGCTATGTCTCTAGGCGTTCAAGTCGGGATTCATCCATGCATAATATATGATATCATCTCTAACGCAGCTGGAAATTCATGGTAACCATAATTAATGAATTGAAATAATTATGTCGTTTTTCGAGTTTCGTGCATGAACACATATTTGTTTTCGTTTTTTCTAAATGATTTGGTTTGTCTTTTGTCGATTTATTACAGGGTTTTCAAAAACTATGTTCCTCATTTGTTAAAGGGTAACCAGTCCGCTCATCTGCTCAATGCTTTTACTCGAAACTTGGTAAGATTTCTAAAAAAAAGTGTAATTTTAAGCAAACATGTTTTGATTTATATTCTTCGACGATGATTATACTTTTACTCGTTTCTGATGAATTAATTTTTTTCGCGTGCATTTAAGGGAATAGTGTTGGACACGGCAAAATCGCTCGTTTTTCCTCTTCCACTTTTAACAGTAGCTCATCAACAAATCCTTGCAGGTACATCACTAGAATATATATTAAAATTAATTCAATACGCGTAATATAATACATTTTTTCGGATTCAAGATTTAATTTCCTCGTCGTGTTTTTTAATTAATTTTTATTTTTGATAGGATCTTCACATGCTGCCAAGGACACTGAGGACACTGCACTGCTAAAAGTAAAAAAACAAAAATTAGAAATGGTTTTGATTGGTTGACATTATGATTATTATTATACGTTTTATGTAGTCGATAAATAAAATGCTTATTTGTTTACGACAGGTGTGGGAAATGTTATGTGGAGTGAATATAATAGATGCGGCGAATGAAGAACCCTACCATCCAGAGGAATTAGCTCGTCAGTTATCGGCCAAATCGAAAACCGTTAAGAGAATCGGATTTATCGGGTTAGGAGCTATGGGATTTGGCATGGCCACGCATTTGGTCAAGTCGAATTTCACCGTACTTGGCTTTGATGTAAGTCAAATTATCATTATTAATAATGTTCGAGCAACTTTGTTATCGTCTATGGTGGTATTTATTTATAAAGTTCCGTATTTAATTATTAATATTTTTATTATTTTGGTGAGTAGGTTTATAAACCGACACTATCTCGATTCGAAAAAGAAGGTGGCATTCCAGGTAGCAGCCCTGCAGAAGTATCCAAAGGTAAATTCATTCTGCAACTTAATAAACGAAACTTATGCATCAACTATTCAGTTTTCACAAAATTACGTATTTGGTCTTATGAAAATGGATTAGTTAAATTCCCTTTGATATTTGCGAGTAAGTACGTTTTCTACAATCGGTTGCTTACGTATAATTATATCGTCCAGATGCCGATGTATTGGTTGTAATGGTGACAAATGAGTCTCAAGCCGAAAGTGTTTTATATGGCGATAATGGTGCTGTGGCAGGTACAACTTACGACTCTCTCGATTCCATCGTATACAAAGTGAACAAGACCGACTTTTGTTTTTTTTTTTTTAAACTTTTTTTTACTATTTATTTCTTGTTGTGTTTGAAGCCCTTCCATCTGGAGCATCAATTGTAATTTCCTCGACTGTATCCCCGGCATTCGTCAGCCAGCTTGAGCGAAGACTGCAAAGTAAGTTCGTTCTATTTCTTATATATTCTTTCGAGAAATGAAATTGACATGAATTTAATTTGAATTTTGCTCAATTCACTTAAAAAAAAAAAAAAAAAAAAAAAAAAAACAATTTCTTTCATTGTTTAGTTTTAAAGTTCCGTTTTCTGTCCAAATTTACGTGTTTCTGACCACTACCCTAAGAATCATGTCGCAAACGTTCCTTTTAAGTTACATACATGTTTCAGTAGGTAGTATTTTAGATGATATACATACGACATACGTATATATAATACTTATTTCGACTTTCAGACATTTATTATCATTGTCACTGCCTATATTTATTACAGGTGAACAGAAGAATCTAAAGTTGGTGGATGCTCCGGTTTCTGGTGGAGTGATTAAGGCTGCTAATGGAACACTTACCGTACGATAAATCGATTCTTGAAAATCGACATTTAACATGTTTGTACCTCATAATATAACCGGGACTAAAAAGTTACATATTTTATTTCAGATAATGGCATCGGGTGCAGAAGAAGCTCTAGAGCATGCTGGTTCAGTTATTTCAGGTTCAAACAAATTTTTTTTTTTTTTTTTTTGATAAAATTAAGGAAACTATAAATTCCGATTCCCCAAACCGAAGTTGATTTTTTGTTATCGGTTCGATTTACAGCATTAAGTGAGAAGCTTTATATCATAAACGGAGGCTGTGGTGCTGGAAGGTACATCATCTAACTTGAATTCTTGATTTATTTGATTCTGTGACGCATGTAATTTAATTTTTATTCTTATTATATATTATTATTTTCTAGTGGCGTAAAAATGGTGAATCAACTGCTAGCTGGAGTTCATATTGCATCAGCAGCAGAGGCAATGGCATTCGGGGCTCGATTAGGTCTTAATACGAGATTGTTGTTCGATGTCATAAAAAACAGCGCCGGAACTTCATGGTATATGCACAACTTTCACGTAAAAAAAAATCACTAAATAATTTTCCGTATTATAATAGAAAAATTTGTAATTATTTTATTCACCACAGGATGTTTGAGAACCGTGCCCCACACATGGTAGAAAATGATTACACACCGTTGTCCGCACTCGATATCTTCGTAAAGGATCTGGTAAGATTGATACATAACAAATCAACGGTGTTCTATTTTATTTTATTTTTGAAATGAAAACGGATTTTATTTTTGAGTTATTTTACGATTTGCATGCATGTTTACACAATCGTAACTCTTTTTTTATAGGGCATCGTTTCTCGTGAATGCTCGTCTCGCAGGGTCCCACTTCATGTGTCAAATGCTGCACATCAACTGTTCTTGTCAGGTAGGTATATATTTATCATTTTCTTTATTTGAATTTGAAACATATATTAAATAATAACTCAAAATGACTTCAAAATCGAGCAGGTTCAGCTTCTGGATGGGGTCGAATAGATGATTCTGCCGTAGTAAAGGTTTGAGCTTTACTAATTTCTCTAAATTTTAAAACATTAAATTTTTTTTTTCTCGAGTGTATTTCAGGTTAAATTAACTGATATTTGATATTTAATTTAGTTAATTATTCAAGCATTGAAAATTCGACAGGTTTATGAGACACTTACTGGAGTAAAAGTTGAAGGAAAACGGCCCGCTTTGAGTAAAGAATCTGTGCTTTCGTCTCTTCCGTCTGATTGGCCGATTGATCCTATTCAGGATATAATTACTCTTACTCAGAAAAATTCGAAAACTTTGGTTGTTTTGGATGATGATCCAACTGGAACTCAAACGGTTCACGACATTGATGTATTGACCGAATGGTGAGTCAACTCACAGCTTTCGTTGTGCTTTCTTACTAGTAAATAGATGATTATCTTAACTCTCGTTGAACGGACAAACAAATTAGGGGGAATTGGAACGGAATTTCCGATTTCTGCCGATTCCGTTTCGAAATTTCCCTATTTTGAAACAATATTTTTCATTCCGAATTCCGGTTTCCAATTTTTCCGGTTTTTTTGGATTGAAATTGAAATAGCAATATATATGAAATTCTAATTTCCAATCCAATTTAATTTCTGAAAATAATTCTGAAAGTTCTGATATTTTTTTTTCCGAAAATTTACACTGAATAGTATCAAAATTATTATGTTTTTTGTATTTTAAGTGAGTAAAAAATTGGAATTTTCCGATTTTGGAATAAGTTTCTTCATTTCAATTTCTGAAATTCCAATTTCCGATTTTTTTGGAAAGGAATTGGAATTTGTTTTTCACTTCCGAAAAAAATCGGAATTTTTCCGAAAATGCTAATTCCAATCCGATCTGTCCAATTTTCACCCCTAGTGGAAATTATCTTTGTAGCAAAAAAGAAAATTAAAAAATGCCACTTTTATTTGACCTCCGATTTCATGAAAACTCAGGTTTCAATTTTGTGAATAAACTAATCAGTGACTTTTTTTTTTTTTTTTTTATTTAATTTCTAATTTCAGGAGTATTGAGTCACTTGTTGAACAATTCAGTAAGAAGCCGAAATGCTTTTTCATTTTGACAAATTCACGGTCAGTAAGTTCCGACAAGGTAAAATTATAAATTGTTACTTTCCTTTTCTTATTAATATTTATTACAAGTATACATATATATATATATATATATATATATATATATATATATATATATATATATATATATATATATATATATATATAGTTATAGTTATTTAGTAGAGCTTTGTTGTTATAGGCTACTGCACTAGTAACAGAAATATGCAGCAACTTATCCGCCGCCGCAAAGACAGTGGACAACGCCGAATACACTGTCGTTCTGAGAGGCGATTCAACTTTACGAGGCCATTTCCCCGAGGCATGAAAATTCATCGCACATAATATCGTTACTTTTTCGAACATTAATATTTTTTCATTTTTTTTTTAATATGGTTTTTATTTTTTAAAAAACGTGTAGGAGCCAGATGCAGCAGTTTCTGTAACTGGTGAGGTGGATGCATGGATAATTTGCCCCTTCTTTTTGCAAGGAGGTCGATACACTATCGGAGACGTACATTACGTTGCAGATTCCGATAGGTATTATTTTGTTTTTTCCACGTTTTTCTTTACCTAATAATTAATATATTTTCCGATAATTTAGCATAATTTAAGGAGCATCGTCTCGTCAGGCTCATCCCTGCAGGTGAAACGGAGTTTGCTAAAGATGCTTCTTTTGGCTATAAATCTTCTAACCTTCGAGAGGTCTAGTATTTTTATTTTTTTCTGTAATATTAGTAAAATTTAAATAGGAAATTATTAAAAAAATCGAGTGAAAAATTTAATGAGATTTTTATTTTTTTGTTTGAGATTTCAGTGGGTGGAGGAGAAAACGGGAGGTCGTATACCAGCAAGTAGTGTTGCGTCCATTTCTATTCAGCTACTACGAAAGGGTGGACCTGAAGCTGTTTGCGAACGTCTCTGCAGTTTGAAAAAGGTTCGATTTCTTTAAGATAATAAAAAGCGCAATATTATTTAACAAGCTTAATGACTTACATTCGTTTCAACCGATCGAAGATGCTTTATTTTCTCAGTTTATATTATCAATTGCATTTTGACGCTAATATGCTGTTAAACCGAAACAGGGGTCCACGTGCATTGTTAATGCTGCAAGTGATAGAGATATGGCTGTATTTGCCGCAGGAATGATTAAGGTTCGTCTTTCGTTCTTTTTTTCACTCTGCTCGAAAAATCATTTTGTGCAGATATACTTGAAATAAACACAAAAGGGTACTTTAGTAATTTCCTCATCTCTCTCTCTCTCTCTCTCTCTCTCTCTCATATTATAGGCAGAAATGAAGGGGAAGAGCTTCTTATGCCGCACAGCAGCTAGTTTCGTTTCTGCTCGTATTGGAATAATTCCTAAAGCTCCATTATTGCCTACCGATCTCGGAATATCCAGTTACAAGACCGGTGGACTTATAGTCGTCGGTTCCTACGTTCCCAAAACAACTAAACAGGTCGACGAGCTACTTTTGCAACGAGGCCACGCCTTGAAACGAATCGAGGTAATTTCATTTTTCATTTTTTTTATTGAGTGAAATATATGAAATTTTTTATTATTTTGTGAAAAAAAATCTCCTTATCGAAACAGGTTTCTGTTGATAAAATTGCGATGAAATCGATAGAAGAAAGAGAGGAAGAGATTGCTCAAACGGCCGAAACTGCTGACGTGTACCTAAGAAGTGGGAGAGACACTCTTGTAATGACTAGTCGACTGCTTGTTGTCGGAAAAAGTACGCCCTTTTCGTCGATATTTATTTTTTACTGCCATCTTTTTTTAATTAAAATTGGTTAGTTAATTCTGATAATTAATCTCTGCGTTGTAAAACAGATGCTTCCCATAGTTTAGAGATCAACGGCAAAGTTAGCTCCGCACTCGTGGAAATAGTGCGACGGATAACTACAAAACCACGATACATACTTGCCAAGGTACTTCTTATCGAGTGTCGTATAATGTAATTAGTGCGCATTGAGAAGCTTACATTCTATTCGAGGGGAAAAAAATTAACTTTTTAAAATAAAATGAAATCAACAATTGCGGAAAAATCGAAACTTTAGTTAATTTAGCTGACGATTTTATTTTTTTCCAGCTACTACCCACCGTACTAATCTCGATGTTACTCGTCTTTTGTTCACTTATTTTTTACCGTAACATAATATTTACATTACCATATTGTCTTTAATCCGAATTTTATTTACCGCATTACTATTTAATTTGTATAGCATTTAATACGGTAATGAAAATGTTATTAACATAAGTTGGTACTTTCTATAATAGGGTGGAATTACGTCTTCGGATCTTGCGACAAAAGCGTTAGAAGCAAAACGAGCGAAAATAGTAGGGCAAGCTTTAGCTGGGGTACCCTTATGGCAACTAGGCCCCGAAAGCCGACATCCAGGCGTACCCTACATTGTGTTTCCCGGTATTTTATTTTTCGATATATTTAGTGGCCACATCATCGAATTCCAATTTATTTTTAATATTTTCGATTAATTAGAAACGATTTTCTTGTGCTTAGGAAATGTTGGAGATAATAATGCTGTGGCGGATGTGGTGAAAAGTTGGGCACATCCAGGCAGGCTTTCTACGAAGGAACTTCTTCTCGTAAGATTTCTTCGTGTTTTAAACAAGTTCCGTTTCGATTTTGACCAGACAGTTGACTATGTTTTTATTGTTTATGTAATAATAAAAGAATGCGGATAATGGTGGATATGCCGTTGGAGCGTTTAACGTGTATAATCTGGAAGGGATTCAGGCCGTTGTTTCTGCAGCCGAGGAACTGAGAAGCCCTGCTATTTTGCAGGTTCGAATTCGCTATTATTGCCTTTTTATAAATTTACAATATTTTAAACTGAAAAAAAAATGTTGAAAATATTATGATTTTTTTTGTTTTTCTTTTTTAATTTTAATTTTAATTTTTATGATGTTTCCCCAGATCCACCCTAGTGCGTTGAAACAAGGAGGAGTTCCACTGGTAGCCTGCTGTATCTCTGCTGCAAAACAAGCAACTGTAAGTCTTCTCGAGAATTTAGAAAAAAATTCTCGAGAAAAAAAAAAGATGCAATAAGCTGACAAATGCATGATATTTTTTATTTTATTTTTCCGTAAAATTTTGTTTTTTTTTTTTTCATAATTGCTTGTTCTCGTACATAATAGTGTATAGTTGCTGTTGTTGGTCCATCTAACTTTAATTATTCCTTGCTTCTCCAAAATATTAGTTCAATAATTGTTTGAGGGGCAAATTAGGTAAGCCCAAATTACGAAAAAATCCCTTATGTTTGGATGATTGCAACCACCCCCGTCAACTAAGTATTGTCTTACAAAAAAACCCACTTTCAGTAGGTAAATTTGACACCATAAGGGTGGACGTGTAAGACAATTACATAGTTGAGGGGTGGTTGTAATTACCCAAACATGAGAGGTTTTTTCGTAATTTGAGCATACCTCAGGGGTGGCCTTAATTGCCCTTATTTGAGAATAGATTTAAAATGTGGTATAATGCTTGTTTTATCAATATTAACTTCGTAATTTTCGATCGACAGGTTCCTATTACAGTTCACTTTGACCATGGAAGTTCCAAACAAGAATTGGTCGAAATTTTGGAATTGGTAACGCTTCTTCTCAACTACTTTTATTCTGAAAAAAAAAAAAAGAGTACGGAGAAAGGGCGCGATTACCTATATGTACATATACATTTACAGTTAAACCTCTATAAATTAATACAGTCTTGACTAGGGAAATTCTATTAATTTAGTGAATTATTAAATTATCGAGTTAATATTTAACACGTTTTCACCGAGTGGGGACCGAGAGAAACTATTATTTAATCGAGGTTATTAATTTATCGAGTATTAATTTATCGAGGTTCTACTGTATCTGTTTTTTTATGTCCGAAAATCGAACCATTTACAGGGATTTGACTCGGTCATGGTTGATGGTTCGCACCTGTCGTTTAAGGAAAATATTTCGTACACAAAGTACATTTCTTCCTTAGCACACGCGCAAGGTTTATTAGTGGAAGCCGAGTTGGGAAGATTATCCGGAACCGAAGACGATTTGACCGTACAAGATTACGAAGCAAAACTAACTGACATCAATCAGGTTTTCCCTTCTACTTATATTTCCCAATCACAAGCACTACTAAATCGTAGACGGTGAAACGAGATTTTTTTGTTTTCTTAAAAACCATTTATTTTTGTAATAATAAAATTTCAGGCTAATGAATTCATCGACGCGACGGGGATAGATGCTTTGGCTGTTTGCATTGGAAATGTTCACGGAAAATACCCTGACAGTGGCCCGAATCTTAGACTCGACTTGCTTAAGGTTGATTGTTTAAATTCCAAGTATTGTTTTCCGGGTTTATTGCATTTTGTACCCTTGTGTTTAGTCTAGTTGCTAAAAATGCTCCACTTGTTATAAATATTAGCAAAAACCCCCGTATGATGCAATTTTGTTTTTAGCAAACTACCCCCTAAAAACTCACTCTTTATCGGTTTGTGGAGTTGTGCGCTGTATAAAATGCATCGGGAGGTTTTTTTTGCTAATATTTATAAACATAGGGGTATTTTAGGAATTAGACTAAATACAGGGGTGCGGAATACAATAAACTCGTTCTTTTCCTGTCAAAGTATTAGCTCATACTAATTTTGAATTATTATTTATATAAGAAATGCAGAAAGATTCATTATGTCTTGTGCTGATTGTCCCATGATTCGAAAACATTTTCCGATTCTTTGTCTGAAAATATTGCACGATTTTTATTTTTATTTTTTATTTTTTGGTTCCAGGATTTATATGATTTATGTTCGAAAAAAGGAGTCCAAGTTGTCCTACATGGGGCTTCTGGATTGGGAGAGGATATTATCAAGGTAAAATAATTAATTCTTGTGTAGAACACTTTTTATTACGCTTCACCGAAATTTATATAAAAAAAAAAAACAGGAATGTATAAAGTTGGGAGTGAGGAAATTCAATGTGAACACTGAAGTACGTAAGGCTTACATGGAATCTTTAACGAGCATCGGGAAAGATTTGGTTCATGTTATGGAATCTTCAAAGGAAGCAATGAAAGCTGTGGTTTCCGAGAAGATGCTTCTCTTTGGCTCTGCTGGCAAAGCTTAACCGTAATTTGAGAGTGGAATTATCGTTCGCTTCGCACCTCGGGTTTTGTCCCTTTCTTCCTTTCTTTTTTCGGTACAGTGATTGGATCTTATAAAATGGTTAAAAAAAAAAAATATAACCATCTGCGGTTATATTTGACAATCTCTGGTACAAATTTTTTGTTATTCATTCAAGGAAAATAAAGCTTGTTTCATTCATGAGCACACTGAAAGAAACTTGGGAAGATCAAGTTTGGACATATTCACTAAGTTTGGCATTTAACATTGACATTTAAATAGTTTTCTAGATGAAGACAAACTTTGTGAAGACAAAGTAGCCCGTTGTAGAGTCAGTTTTTGTAAATTCTTTTATCAATTAATTCAATAAAAGACCGTAAAATTAAACACAAAAGCAAATCAATAACCCCTCAAATTACCAGATTAAAATCAGGATTCTCATTCAAGTTAATTAGTATTTTCAATAAATAGATTTTTATTAAATTGTTTTAAAGACTATCTCAAATTCCCCCAAAAAAAAAACAAATGAAAAAATAGGGTCAAATTACAAAAAAATCACTCATATTTGGATAATTACAATTGTCTATCAACTATAAATCTTCTCTTACACGTCCTTCCTTTATGGAGTGAAATTCAACATAATCTTATAGATTCCATGGAATGTTCTTTAGTTTGTACTCGTTTTGTGCAAAAACGCAATTTCAGATGCACCAGAATCTGTTATTTACAAGCCAAGAGACACATCTTATGATCATCTCGTTTTAAAGAGTGGAGCTCGAATGAAGTAAAACAGCTATAAACTGGAGAATTATTCAATATAATGTAGAAGATTTAACTAAATTTGACAGCACAAGGATGAACGTGTACGAATATTTATAGGTGAGAGAGCATGGTTATCGGATCGTAAAAATATCTCATACCGTATTGTTATCGTATCGTACGATATTTAACCAACTATTAAAATAGTAAAAAATATATATCTACATTATAAAAATATTATAAACATGTAAAATTTAATATTTTTAAGTTAAAATACTAAATTTGATTGCGTTTTTTCTTTTTTTTTTTCGTTTTTTTTTTCTTCATGTTTTTTAATTGTCGACTAATATCGTAAATATCGTAACGTATCGTAATACGACGATACAATACGATATCTCGCGGTATTTAATGGTATTTATCAATAATCGATATATAAACCAAGTTCTATCGTTTTGATTGGAACCATACCGTATACGATATATATCTTGCTATAACGCGAGATTATCTACCATGAGTGAGAGTTAATTGTACTTATCCAAACACAATTTTTTTTGGGGTGATTTGACCTGACCTTGTATCCGCCGTAATTTACTCATGAAAAAGTCGAGAGATTATCAAATCTAATGCCGTTCTTATCTGTTAATACTGTTGGGCCCCATTGCTTACGCACTACCACTACTAGAATCCGGTTCTCTCTCTCTCTCTCTCTCTCTCTTAACATTTCTTGATCATATTCAATTATTCACAGGAAGAGAGAGAAAACTTGATCAGCAAATAAATGGCAGAGCCGAAGCTTTTCGAACTCAACAATGGCACCATCCAACTCAAACTCTCCAATTTCGGATGCACCATCACTTCCTTACTTATACCAGACAAACATGGTAAATTAAACCCTTCACAATCGATCTAATTCATCAACAAATCCCATTTTTTTTTATTGAATATTTATATTTGCATTTCTGAAAGGAAAATTGGCGGATGTGGTTCTTGGATTCGACACACTCGACCCATATCTGGTGAGTACCAATCGTATTCCCAATTATTATTTTTCAATAACTAAATAACCCATTTGATTTTTTTAGCCTTTAGTTCATATATATATATATATGTTCTGCCTCATGTAAAAATTGAATCTTGATTGTGTGCAGAAAGGCGATGCTCCATATTTTGGGTGCGTAGTGGGTCGGGTCGCGAACCGGGTCAAAGATGGGAAGTTTTCACTCGATGGAGTTCACTACTCTTTGCCTATCAACAACCCACCTAATAGTCTCCATGGTATATATATATATATATTATTATACTCATTATTTTTCATTAAAATAAACTTTATATATATATATATATATATATATAGTAGAACTTTGATAAATTAATAATCTCATTTAAATAATAATTTATTTCGATATATATATTATATATATATATATATATATATATATATTATTATATTATTATTATTATTATTATTATTATTATTATTATTATTATTATTATTATTATTATTATTATTATTATTATTATTATTATTATTATTATAAGGTAAAAGTTTATTTTTACCCTTGATGTGTCCTTTAGCTATCGGTTGTTTTGGAGGGTATTTTAGGACAACCAAAAAATGGAAGAAACCATCCTATTATTCCCACTTTTATAAGTAGTATAGATTGTGGTGGATTTGAAATTGGAGGTATTTCAAATCCTTGGATCCGAATGGAGCCTAATTAAAGTATTTTGAAGCAATGTTATCAAATCGGAAAATATCGCTGTAGACGCATAAAATTAATTAATTGGTTAATTAAATTAGCCAATTAAATTGTGTCTAAATTAAATTATACCTTGTCTTGCAAGACAAGTCATGGAGATAATTATTAATTAATTTTTGGCCAATAGGATTATTTCTTCTCTTCCAAGTTATAAGAGATAAATATCAATTTAAAGAGAGCCAATCAAATCGCGCCACGTCATCAAGTAGACTTTAAGTAGGACTCTTATTCTACCACTATAAATAGGGACCCTCCCTACACAATTCAAAACACAACTCAAGAAGAAGAAAAACCGTAGGAGAAAATTCTCTCTACAATATTCAAGTCGTTCTTCATCAAATTCAAGGCGTTCTTCATCAAATCGAGGGCGTTCTTCAACAAATCGAGATCGAAGGAAGATTGAAGGGTCAAATCCATCAAGAACTTCAAGATCTTCAAGTCAAAACCCGTCAAAGTTCAGCGTTTCGATCCGAGATTCAAGTCGCAAGACCCTCGGAAGACGTTATTCAAATCCAAATCAAATCCGGAGAAGATAAAGTCAACGACCCGTCTCCGAAATTCAAAGTCAAACATATATTGTTCTTGAGAGAAGAATCAGAGGATTAAATTAGAATTTATAACCCGCAATATCTTATTTTAATTCAATAAAATTATCTTTGTGCAATTCTTTCTTGTTTGTCTAAATCGCACGTAAGAATTTGTTGTTACAAATTTTGGCACGCCCAGTGGGACATCTCTACCTCTCATCTCTTCTCTCTCTCGAAGATCCTCGAAAGTGTTGCAGTGACTGCTCTACGTTC